ATTTATTATTCATAGAATAATCTCTTACGAATTATTTTTTAACCTATTAAACTTAACCTAAACCTAACCTAACCTAAACTTAAATCTAAAGGCCATAGAGGTATTTTAAATCTTTCATCGAATACCTAATGGCTGATGTAAACCGTCCTTATAAACTTATAACATTATTATATCGTATGATATAATTCTTATTACACTTATAATTATTATTCATAGAATAATCTCTTACGAATTATTTTTTAACCTATTAAACCTAACCTAAACTTAAATCTAAAGGCCATAGAGGTATTTCAAATCTTTCATCGAATATTGATTATTCATAGAATAATCTCTTACGAATTATTTTTTAACCTATTAAACCGAACTTAAACCTAACCTAACCTAAACTTAAATCTAAAGGCCATAGAGGTATTTCAAATCTTTCATCGAATATTTATTATTCATAGAATAATCTCTTACGAATTATTTTTTAACCTATTAAACCTAACCTAAACGTAACCTAACCTAAACTTAAATCTAAAGGCCATGGAGGTATTTCAAATCTTTCATCGAATATTTATTATTCATAGAATAATCTCTTACGAATTATTTTGTAACCTATTAAACCTAACCTAAACGTAACCTAACCTAAACTTGAATCTAAAGGCCATAGAGGTATTTCAAATCTTTCATCGAATACGTAATGGCTCGTGTAAACCGTCCATTATCATCGAGAGTGGTTTGCCAAACAATTTTTTGCGAAAAGGCAACACCTACGATAATCGATCTATCAACGTTTGCGTCCCATTATAATTATAATATCTCGCAACGTTGCGCGTGAGTCGATTTATTCAATTGAAATTGTAATTGAGTTTACCGAAGGACGTTTTCTTGAAAATAAAAAAATAAAAAACATACACAATGGCATTGCCTGTGGTCGGTCTATCAACTGCTGATAGAGAGCGCGAACACACGCGCGATAGCGCTCGCCTTATCAGTTTTAACCCACAGTTTCCTCGTCGAACGTTCAGGTTTTTTGCCCGTGCACAGCGGTTTAAAAAAAAAATGTTCGTCAAGTAACAAATTTTCTCACTCTTTTCCACTTCGATGGAATTGATTAATAATTATCTGAATTGATTAACTTTGAATGAAACTATCAATTACGGCGTTCTCTCGAAAGCGAAAGAAAAGGGAAATTCTCCTCGTGAAAAAAATCTTGTAAAATACAGGGTGGGCCAAAAGTTTGATGAAACTATGAAAATTAAATTTTTATTAACATCGGATTGAAATCAAACAAGTTTTATTAATTTTTCAATTGAGAATTCTTCCCTCGTTTGTTTGACAGTTCTCTGGACAATCGGATTTCCATGTCGTTTCCATCATTTTTATTCTTTCAGACTTTGTTGCAGAGAGTGAGAAGTTATTTCACGAATGTCGTGTGAATTCAGAATGCGGCCCCGCTGCACGTCACACACGTAGGTAGAGCCGTCCAAGTTGGAGAGGGGCACACGTAGATAGCACGTTGCTTACTCGTTCCTCGTTCTATGCAACGTACGCGTACGTACGTTTGTCGTTCACCGGTAGTTGACGATTGCGCACCAAGTCCGCCGCTTTGGTTCGCGAAAGACGCGATTAATCGTCCTTTCGGGCTCGACTCGTCGCCTCCCCGAGTTTCATCGACAACGCCTGTGAATGCCGTGTAGGTATATCCACGTGATGTGGCCTGCTCTCGTCATGAGATCCTGCCCTGGCCGAGTGAGTATCGTCCTACCGATCAAAGATCAAACGAAAAAAAAATTACGCCTCGAATAATCTCACCTTGGACGAATCGAATGAACATGTTATTGTGTGATATTAATATTACAAAAGAAAAAAAAAAAAAAAAAAAAAAAAAAGATACGAAACTTCTATCTGCCGTACAGATAACGCTTGTCATTAGCGAGCAGTATGTATTTGGGTAAAAATTGCGACACGTGACTGGTTAATTCGGCCGGTATCAACCATATGCCATATGCACGTTCATAGTGTGTTTTGCCACACGGCTGAGTGCGACGAATCAAAGGGGTAACAGTTTGAAACTCGATGGTGATCTCTTTGTAGATCTGCCCTCCTGGCTCAGAGCGAACAGAGACAAGTGTCTCTAACTCCTGTCTCTTTTAATAGTCTGAGAACTGCGCATTCGACAGGTGTGTATCGGACTCGAATGACGCGAAACGTGACCTACAGACGGCCGTAATTTTCTTGCTTTCCACGCGCCGATCGTGGTAATTACGATAACTCGGACGACCGTCACCGAGTGAAAAACGATTGAAATTAAGAAGCCAGTCGATCGTTTCTTTTTTTTTTTTTTTTCTTTTTTTTTCTTCTTTTTATAACGTCGAGCGTTCGTCTTCGAAAACTAGACGAGTGACATTAGGATATCACAGGCGAATAATATTAAGAACCATGCGTTTCCAGTGAATGGTGCACGATGTCCTTTCCGGCCCGTGGGGCCGAGCTCTAATCATCGTTGTGGCAGCGTTCGCCGTCGTCGTCTTGTTGCTCGTGATCGCCTGTTTCCTCGTGCCAGGATGCCTCGGATACAAATGCATCAGAAGACAAAGTAAGCTCTGCCTTACGTTATTACGGCAACGACACCTGTTCCCATTAAGATCCGCGTTTCATTA